GTACACAAGTGCCCCGTGCGCTGCCCCACCCTTTGTGCATGCCCATAAGCATGTGCACCCCCCGCATAAGTGCCATGCAGTCCTTCATGCATGCACATGCGCAGCCGCACAAGTGCCCTCCCGCTCCTTCATGCATGCGCATGAGCACCCATGCAAGAGGGGTGTCCCGCCTTCCCCAACCAGTGCGCGGGGTTAAAAAGGTTGGGGACCAACGCTTTGAAGAGATTCATGGCAGTGGTAAGAGATGAATTGGGGGCTTTATGAATCATAGGTCAACTCCTTAGCCACTATGAACATCAGCTCTAAAAATTATGATCAAGATTCCAGATTTGAGAATTCTGACAATACTATAAACTTGTGGACCTACTTTTAAATATGGCTAACCCCTGAGTTAGTCCATTATTCCCCAAAACGTGTCATCAGAGAGCAATTTACGCAATGTACATTAGTGTACATTAGTAAATTTCATCTATAGTTTGCTCTCTAAATAGGTTATCTAAAATGCATTCACTGGTTACTAAGAGCTGTGTATGTAGTTCCCTTCAAAGAAACCTTTGATAAATAAATAAATAAATAAATAAATAAATAAAATAAAATTTACAGAATTATCAAGCACATGCACTTAAATTGTTACCATTGGGCTGCACGTTGCTATTTACTGCTGATTTTTCTTTATCATTCTTGATATCCTTAAAGACCAAAACACTTTCTGTCTTAACAGTTTCATTTCTTATTTCTAGCTGAGGTGGAAATTGCTGCAAGCTTGACTGCTGTGAACACTGGCCTGGAGCATCTTCATACACAACCTCTTCTAGCCAAGGGAAGCATATGACTGCGATGTACCAATGAGACCTGGTGAAGCAAAGAAGAGAAGCTCAGAGCATTGTAATGTAAAAGGCAAGTCTATACGAAGAAAGAAAGGGAGGGAGAGAGGGAGAGGGAAGCTTTGGGTTGTGCATGTGTTTCTCTGTTGATTGTCATTAAAATATCAGAGTTCATTTAGCAGAAATCAATCATGTGGCTATTTCATTTTTCAGCACACCACCTGAACCACATATTATACATAAAAGAAAAATACCTTATTTTACTCCCCTGTATTTAGTAAAGAAATCCCAGTCTTTATGCCCATTTTCCAAAACATCCGAGCTCTAAACATCAAGAGCAAATTTACAGAATACAAGTTAAAATTTCTGGAATGACAGGGCAGGAAATGGCAGAAGTCTCAATTAGTAAGGCAAACTTACTCTTCATTCACAGGCACAAAAATGTAGTCTTTATTGAAAATGTTAATGTATCGAGTCCACCTTTTGACTCTTCTGTGCCTTCTCTGTGCTAATCTGTGTAGACACAAAAGAAATGGTTAGATACCCTTTGTGAGGAAGAGACGGAAACATACTCATTGTTCTCCCCAAACCTAGCAAAAGGAGAATACACTGTTCCTTATTGAACAAAGCGGGCAAATCCACCTTTTTGGATGAGCTGACCACCTGCAAATAGTCATTGACTTAGGTCAGCATAACTGGGCATTCAAAGTTCTCCAAGCTTCTGTCTCCAGAACAGTGTAATCGCAAAGAGGATCAGAAAAGGAGCTGGCACAGTTCTCTTTACCATTCTGTTGCCATTCTTCAGAAAATCGTGGTATGAGATGGCAACAGGAGAGGCTGTACTTTGTTGTCTTCCGGCTGTAATCTTGCAGTAAGCAGGGTATCTGTAGCTCAATGGTGCTACTCAATGGACCTGGAAAGCCCTGTATTATAACCTGGAAAGCCATATAATATAACCTGGCAACTTATAAGAAGCTCTCCATGGCTCAACTTGGTGCATTATAGATGTATGATGCAGAGCTCCTAATCTTCCTGACGAGGGGCCGTACTGGCTGGGGCTGAGGTGATTTGCTGTCCAAAACATTAAGAAGTCACTAGTCCTAGGGGAAGAAAACTCCTTGGCACAGGACGTAACAATCAAAACTCACCCAGTGTCAACATGGCGTAGCTACCTTGTATTGTTCTTGTGAAAATAAGACATGGAAGAGAGGAGAGGTGCATATACTGCCTTGAACTCAGTGGTGGGAAGGCAAGATGCAAAGGTAACAAATAGTTAAATAATTGTGGAGGAAACAAATTAAGGGTCTTCATCAAAAATTTGAGTGGTTTTTATGCAGAGATACATAAAACTTCCATGGAAAATACACCTGGAATCTGTTTAGAGAAACAGTTCTATGTATTATAATCCAGTGATACGCCCCAATGAACAGTTGGCAAATGACTTCCAAGTAAATTTGCAAGGACTAGAGATGTGCATAGCAAACATTTTCAAATTTCTTTCATTTCAGGTCCTTTGGGGGGGGGGGAACTTTTCTGTTTTCACATTTTTGTGTGCATTGTTCTTTTGTTTTGCATGAAAGGAAAATCCTCTCCGGGGTCATTTGTTTCATGCTTTCTGGCACTCCAAAAACATCAAAAGATCTTTAAAATGGCCCCCCAAAGTAGAGGCAAAGTAACGGAGAATCAATCTCCTTCAAAAACAGGCAATAGAACATGAGAAAAGAGAAACTATTTATGGAGGCCTTTGGCAATATCCTAGGCCAGCAATGGCGAACCTATGGCACACGTGCCACAGCTAGCATGCAAAGCCTTCTCTGTGGGCATGCGAGCCATACGTCGCCGGATTGCTCCACCTGCAGCCAAACCTGAGGAGGCGGCTGCAGCTATGGTGCTAATGCCCCAACAGGTGGTAGGCCAGGATCCAGTGCAGCTGATGCTGACGACTGGAGGTGGATTTGGGGTGGGGTTTTGAGGCTCCTCTGTGCCTGGATTCCCCCTTCCGCTGCTTGCTGAGGTTTTTTTTTTTTTCCTTTTCAGTTTGGACACTCAGGGCCAAAAAGGTTCGCTGTCACTGTCCTTGGCTAATTTCTGAGACCCACACTCTACTGTCATGATTCATTATTTTTATTACACTATTGTACAGTGGTGCCTCGCATAGCGAGGTTAATCTGTTCCAGATTAACCTTCGCTATGCTGAAGCATCGCTGAACGGGGCAGGGATTTCCATTGGAACACATTAAACATCGTTTAATGCATTCCAAATAGGCCAAATACTCACCGTTCAGCGAAGCTTCAGGATGGCTGGCAGCCATTTTCGCGCCCTCGCCTCGCTTAACGAGGGCGCGAAAACGCTGCGCGCGGCCATTTTGGGCCATTTCCCGGCTTCCGGCGGCCATTTTGGCCGCCGAACAGCTGATCGTCGGGGTTCGTTTTGCGAAGATCGGTAAGCGAAACGCTTACCGGTCTTCGCAAAGCGAATTTTTCCCCATTAAAAAAACATTGAGCGATCGCATTAGCGATCCGAAAAAACGGATCGCTATGCGATTTCATCGTTATACGGTGCGCTCGTTAAGCGAGGCACCACTGTATATGTTTCTTATTATATTATGGTTTATGTAACTTGGTTTGATCTGGGTTATTATATGTCCATCGTAGGTTGCCTATTGTTTTAGTTTGCGGTGGTATGCATTTTGATTTATTATTATTTTTGGTATGTTTTGCCTAATTACATAAACCACCCGGAGTAGTGTTCTCACTAAGTCATGTGGTCTATAAACTCAGTATAAAAATTAACAGTATGCATTCAGTACCACCCACCCTCTGGCCCTGGCAGGGAAACCGACAGGCTGGCAGGCAACGGCTGCCTGGCACACAGAGACAGTCATTCACCAAAGTAAGTACCAACAACACAGCATCAAGAACAGCAAGAGAGAAAGGCCCTAAGCTGTGCCCAGTCACCACTAACCATCATGCACAAGCAGCACTGGCATGCTGCCAGAGTCACAAAGTCCAACTCTGTCACCAAATCACAAGTGAGATTTTTCTCCCCCACCAATTGATGAATTTTCTTCTCTGAGTCCAGTGGGCAAGAGAAAGCAGGCCAGGCATCAGCAAAAATTATCCAAGAAAGGAAAGCCCCCCCAAAGCCCCCAAAATAAAAAAAAACAAAGACTAACCAACCAAGCAACAACAACAAAAAATAAAACAAAGGAGGAAACAAATGCCCTAAGAAATGGTGTGCGTATGTGTGTGGCAAATACAAGAAATTCCTTAAAAATCAGGGGAAAAAAGGAAAGGATCCAAGATGGAGGCACATACGAAGAGCACTAAATTGTTACATACCATAGGAGACACAAAAGAAAAATGAAATTATTGCCCACCCTTCTGTTGCAAACATGAATCATTTTTAAGAGGCTTTCTTTCAGTAACTGGAGAGAGAAACATAAATGAATGAAAAAAAAGCCTCTTTTGTATTTTGGGTGTTTCTTTTAAACATGAAAGTGCCCATCCCTAGCAAAAACTGCACATTAATGCATAAGTGACTCATAGAACTAGTGATCTTATCTATTCGTGCATAAAACTAGCATCAGAAGAATGCCACCGAAGTATTTGCTGAACTGGGAATTTAAATATCATAATTAAATGTCAATTAAATATCATAATTATTCATATTTGCTTCTGAAATATTTGCCATTGTGTAAAACTACTGCCATTGTTTCCCCCTTACTGCTTTTAACTGTGCCCTACAGCTTAAGAGCAGGAATAATTACCTTGTGATGGCTTCACCTTCCTTCCGTTTAAATAAATTTACATTCATACATTTAGAACTTACGAAAGCTTAGGATTTTCTTCAGAGGTCTTTTCTGTTCTGGTCAGGCACTTATAGAAGAAACTGCTAAAAATGTGTGACCGATCAGCAAGTTCTTTGGGGGCTTTTTCCAGTAGTAGATATCTAACAAGACAAAAGAGGCACAAATGTCGTATGTAGACATGTTTGCTTGTGTTTTTCCCTCTTCTCCCCACTTCAACTGTACTGATCACAAGTCTTGTCTTTATACTGAACTTCCACATGGGGGGTGGTGGTAGAGACAAAGAATACAATCCCAGAGAGAATACAATCCCAGAATTAAAAAAAAACACACACAGAGTCAATAACAACTTCCATTGTCCTCTCATTCAGTGGCAAGAGACTGCTTTTCCCTCAAAAGAAGTGGCAGCAAAAAACTCCTTTGATTCTGAATTGTAATTACCAAAAACATAGACATCCACAGTACAGACCTAATTATGTTTATTAAAACCTATACGCCATCAAGTCATATCTGACTTATGGCGACCCTTCTCAAGGTTTTCTAAATACAGAATACAGTACTCTGAAGTGATGTACCGTTCCCACCTTCTAGTGGCATCCTGAGACTGTGCAGGTTGCCCAAGGCCACACAGGCTGGCTCTACTTGCGGGAGTCACACTCCCAACCTCTGGCTCCACAGCCAGATACCTAACTCACTATAAATAATGTTTATTTGGAACTAAATAGCATTATTGGGATTTCCTCCCAGGTATGTGTCCAGAGTTGCAAACTTGATTCCATGTAGCAAACTCTCTCTATGCAAGGGAAAATTTCTGTTGTTTGGCTGAAATTACAAGGGCTCTCTGGCTAGAAAGGTGAAGAAGCATCTACATTGGTCAGCTTATTATGAAGAGAGAACTCTTCCCAAAAGAAAGTAGTTTTACAGAGAAACCAATGTTGCAGTTTTTGTGCCACGTCTAACCCTGGCTTCAAATCCAAGCGAACAACAACCTAATTTTGGTGAGCAGAGGTCACTTCCATGGGTGTTTTAAAAAATAATTAGTATCTAAGATGATAAATAATCTACTTTTGCAAACAAGTCTACAAAAGTCAAAATTAAAATAACAGATGAAACTTCAGCAAAGTTTTTCTTTCTAGTTCTAAAAGATTTTTTTTTCTGTTGGAGACAATCAAGTTACTGGCTAGTTACAAGCCCATACTTTGATGTCTTTTATAGTACTGGTTATTTGAAAAGCAATGTCAAAAAATACAGTTTTTTGACATTATGAAATAATCAGTAAGTAGGTAATGTTCACATTCTTAACCCGCTGATATTTTACAATTACAAACAAAGGAGCCACACACACACACACACACACACACACACACACACACACACACACACACACACACACACAAACAGAGAGAGAGAGAGAGAGAGAGAGAGAGAATATCCCTATTAGGGTTGCTGTAACTTGGTTTTGACTTGATGGCACAGAACACACAAACATGTGTATATATATACTTACTTAAGATAAAAGTCAATGATCACATCATTGAGAAATTCTCCATGCTCTAAACATTCCAAATCTTCCCTTGTGACACCTAATCCCCCTTTGGCTGGTGGAGGAGGGTAAATGATCAAACTGGAAAACACAAGTGACATTAAACACCTTTATACAATTCTATAATAAATAAATCAATTCTGACAAAAGTACACTGTTTTCATTTCTCTACAACGATAGGCAGTAAATATCCAATTACAGCTCCACAGATAGTCCTATACTACCCATGGAGTCTAGCTCACTAAAATTATGAAAAATCTCAGTTTTCCTTCCCGGGGAAAAAGACCAAACCACCACCACCACCATCCTGACTGCATATATTCACAAAAAACAAGCACAGAATTGCTAAACAGGTAAAAAAATGGAACAAAATAGAATAAAAAAGCAATGCATCATTTTCTATTTAAAATTTTCATCCACATTAAGATTTTTCACAGGCTAAATGCAACATATTATAAAACCGAAGATTAACACCTTGCCACATTTCAAGAGGATGATGTTATTCAATTCAATTAAATATCATAATTATTCATATTTGCTTCCGACATCTTTGTCACTGTGTATTTTTAGAAATGGCCCCAGCCCTCTTGGTGTTGTTGGACTGCAACTCCCAGCATTCCTTACCACTCGGTACAGTGGCTAGAGCTGATTGATGGGAGCTGCAGTCAAACATCTGGAGGCCCACACTCTGCCTCATTCTGGATTAATCAGCTGTATCTAATGTGAGAAGGAAATGTGGTAGGAAGAAAAATCAAGGTCATTTGTTGTCTCTTTTGGTATTTTTCTACTTCTATTTTATCCAAAAATAAACACAATGAGAGAAAATGGATAGTAATTCTACAGCATGTGGCAAAACTCCATTGCATGGTCTCAGATCAATGGCTAAACATTAAGGGAGCACCACTTAAGTAATGAGGAACGTGGATATACTCCTTTGCAGAGGACCATGCAAACAGGTGGAGGTCTAGAGGCAAGCTAGGCAGCCCACTCCATGACAAGAGGAGTGTGAAGGCATATATAATTTACTTTTGCATAATTCAAGATTACACAATCAGTCTACATACTTCTGAACAGGTCCAGCCTCTCGCAACTCTTTCCATTCACTGCGTTTTGTAGAGGAGATAGAAAATGAATATTGGCCATTACTTTGCTTCTGTAGTACAGTGTAATTGGGTTTGGGAACGCTTGCCTTTGATACCTGCTTTAAAAAAAAGGTTCTTTTCAGCTCTCGAATCAAAACACTATTAAGCTTTTGGAGTGCACAAACAGGTGAAAACTGATTACAAGGAATAAACATCATCTAAGTCCCAAAGGTATTTTTCTTGCTTCTCACTAAATATATTAGCTGGATTGCAACAAATATCACACATCCATGTTGAACATTGTTATAATAACTGAATTCCCATCATCTCATGTCTGCCAACTTTCGCTGAATCAAGTAAGCAAATTGCGACTAGTGAAAACCTTTTCCTAATCCTTTCCCTAGACTTTTGGACTGGACAGATTTGTCATGCATGCTGTTACCAGCCTGATTTAATAGCCCTCAGAAGATTAAAAACCCGAGAAACAATGTGGACACATCATGCTAACTTATCATGCTCCCTTGTTCATATACTCAGAAATATTCATTTGTTGCTACAGAGAATATGATGAACAAACAATACGTGTCTCCTACCACTCCTTTCCTGAATGGGTATTCAACAGACAGAAGTCAGTTTACAACAGATAGGTACAACATACCCAGGATGGGGCTGGTGGATAGAGCAATGGACTATGAATGTAGTCAAACAGGGGTGTGTGTGGAACTGGTAAAACCGCTCCTGAAATGTCTCACATACTTTGAAAGCCTTATTAGGGCTGCCATAAGTTGGTTCCAACTTGACGGCATGTAACAGCAGGTACAACATAAGAATGTAAGAAGGACCTTGATGGATCAGAACAAAGACCTACAGTCAACCCTTGACTTACAAACTTAATCTGGAAGGACGTTCGTACGTCGTAAAGTTCGTTAAGTCGAATTACCATTTCCCACTGAAATGCATGGGAACGGAATTAATCCATTCCAGTATTTTAAAAAATACCAAAATAAAATTAAACAAAGCAAGACCCCTGCTGGGACTGCAAAAAAAAAAAAACAAAAAAAAAACAAAAACAAAAAAACCATAATCCCCCAGTCCTAATCCACCCTCCAAAACCCACCAGTTTTTTAAAAAAGTTTTTTAAAAAGGACTTAACAGTTTTTAAAAAAGGACTTACCAGTCCGAAGCCTGCCGGTGCTCCGCTGCCTCCGCCGCAGCCAGCTCTAGCCTCCCGGCGCTGGGTGACCACTGCCTCCAATCATGGCGGCTGGGGACCCCTGGGAGGTCTCCGATGGTGGCAGGAAAGCTCCCAGGGGTTCTCCGCCACCATCGGAGACCTCCTGGTGGTCTGCCAGCACCGCGATCGGCGCCCTTAGGCTTTCCCAGGGAGTCCCCTGGTAGGCCCAGTCTACCAGGCTTTTCCAGGGAGTAGACCGGACCTACCGGGGGAAGCCCTGGTCTACTCCCCGGGAAAGCCTGAAGGCATCGATCACGGTGGGGGGGACCTGCCAAGAGGCCTCCAATGGCAGCAGAGAAGCCCTGGGAGCTTTCTCGACGGCAAAAAGGCAGGGGGAGAAGGGCAGGGAATTCGAATTTCCAGCCCTTTCGTTCTGCCTTTTTGGCTTCGGAGGTCTCAAACTGCTTCCTCCAATGTCGAGGGGAAAGCCCTTTGGGACCTCCAAAGGCACCAATTGCAGTGGCAGGGACCCCCAGGGAGGTTGAGGGTCCGCAAGTCGATGCCAATTTTTCCCAACGGAGCTGTTTGTAAGTTGAAATGTTTGTAACTAGGGCCGTTTGTAAGTCGAGGATTGACTGTACCAGGTCCAATATTCTGTACATACAGTGCTTAATCAATTGCTGATGGAAAACTCAGAGGAAGACATGAGTATGACACCAGAGAACACCAACTGCCAAGCCAAACACACACACACAAACAACTCTCCCTCTCTATTTCCAATAGAGCTTGTGACTAATTTCAAGATATTGCTGAGATCACATAACCTCTGATGATCCATTTCTGACCACAACTCAAAATGTTGGTTCTAACCGATAAAGCCTTAAACAACTTGGGCCCAGGCCATCTGCTTCCCCTTTTATGAGCTTGATTGTTAAGATCACCAGGAGAGGCCTTCCTCTCAATTTAGCCACCTTCACAGGTGTGTTTGGTGGCCTTCTCTGTTGCTCCTCCCAGATTTTGGAACTCCTTCCATTTTTACTGTACTTCTGCAAGCAGGGGTAAAAATATTTTTAATAAACTATGCACCATGGCCAGTGAAAACCCCACATTAAGAAAAATGCTATTTTACTTTTTAAATAATAGAAGAAAGTTTATGACATAACAAAGTGTTAGTTTTTTTAAGATACCACAAAATATATATATATGTATATATTTTGCTGAAGTGGACTAAACATAGCAGCCTCTCTAGAAATATAGGCAATATGAGCACAGGTAGCATTAGAACATTATATCAACTTGAACAAATTGATTGTTCGATTGTGGAAGCTAAGTTGATTTAGACCTAATTAGTTTACTCTGAAAAGTTGCTGTTGCCCTTCCAAATTCAAATAAACCTTCTTATATCGAATTATTTGTTTGGCAATTATTAATTTACCTGAGGTGGTGTCTCTGTCAGAACTGAGACACTGTCCTTTTGCAACTGCTGCTGAAATGACTCGTAGCAATAGTCCATGAAGCAGCTGTCTTCTTCACATGATATTTCTTGAAGAACTTCCTCCCAGGGTATAGAGTTAGTGAGATCTGGAGAGGGATTCTTCTTGCTTATTTCCACTAATATCTTATTCAGCATGACATGCTCCTCCCCTGTAAGTGGCTCAAGCAGCTTTATAAAAACGTGTTCAGTATTTTTCACTGTAAAAGCAAAGCAATGGAAAAAGAGGGGAGGAGGAGCAATGGGTTACTAAAGTTTAGAGGAAGACATACAGTAAGACCCTCTTCCACTTATTCAGTACCCACTGATTTGAAAAACATTAAAACAACAACAAAAAGATGAAGCGAAACCATAAACGGTTTGGAACTCTGCTAACTTTGGAGGTGATCTACACAATGGAAGGAAGAACTCGCATGAGTCCTCCATTATCCTGTTGCAGTACCACTTCAACTGATTTAACCAAGCCAGAAACCAACATCTATACTTCTGCATGCAGCATCTAATAATAAACAGGAAAATATCTAGCAATGACATTTGGCACAGGTCATCCAATCACGGAATCGTATCTTTATAACATTATCATGAAATGTGTGAGCTGAATCTGCTTGTGAAACAATACATTTTGTGAATGTTCCGGCTCTTTCAGAGCCTGGGCCAGGAGGTATCCAGTACTGCCTTGTACAAATGTAACTTCTGCTTGTTTCAATCTGGGTGATCTCTCATTTGCACAATGACAAAGTGAAGATTGCAAGAGATTATGCCCAGCATCTATAGGATACTGGACCTTCTACACTCTCAAAACAAAAATGAAAACAGCTGAAAATGTCTTACACAATAAATATATTATCATGTAAATATATTACCATGTATATCATGTCATTATCTTTGAGAGCTCAGATTGGTTTAATAAATGGCTTGAAGAAACAAAGAACAGAATAATGTAACCCTGCATTTCTAGATTGCCTTCCTTTGCTTTTTATATTTGAATTGTTGACAAAGCCTTATAATGGCGTAATTAACCCTGATATATACCAAAATTATTGGTCATTGTAATATTTGTTCTTGTTGTTTAGTCATTAAGTTGTGTCCGACTCTTCGTGACCCCATGGACCAGAGCACACCAGGCCCTCCTGTCTTCCACTGCCTCCTGAACTTTGGTCAAATTCATGTTGGTAGCTTCGATGACGCTGTCCAACCATCTCGTCCTCTGTTGTCCCCTTCTCCTCTTGCCCTCACACTTTCCCAACATCAGGGTCTTTTCCTTTGTAATGTACCTGGAAGGTATTTATAATTTTCCCTGAAAAGATTTATAAGAATTTTGATATAACTTTGCCATGGAAATGGGAGAGGGTGGGAAGGAAGAAGGGCATAAAATATAAGAATGTATATGTGAATGTACAATGGTGCCTCGCTTAGCTATGTTAATCCGTGCAGCAAAAATCGCTGCTATGCGATTTCATCGCTAAGCGATTTTAAAAAGCCCATAGAAATGCATTAAAACGCGTTTAATGCATTCCTATGGGCTTAAAAACTCGCCTTATGCAAAAATCCTCCATAGGAGCGGCCATTTTCGGTGCCTCTAAAGCGAGGCAAAACAGCAGGCGGCCGTTATGTTTATATGTTAATCCGTGCAGCAAAAATCGCTGCTATGCGATTTCATCGCTAAGCGATTTTAAAAAGCCCATAGAAATGCATTAAAACGCGTTTAATGCATTCCTATGGGCTTAAAAACTCGCCTTATGCAAAAATCCTCCATAGGAGCGGCCATTTTCGGTGCCTCTAAAGCGAGGCAAAACAGCAGGCGGCCGTTATGTTTACCCGCGGCCATTTTGGAACCGCCAATCAGCTGTGTGAAAATGGGGACTTTGGGATGATCGTGGGGAAGCGCTTCCCTGTGATCATCCCAAAACTGGGGGCTTTGCGATGATCGCTTCCCCACGATCATCGCAAAGTGAATTTTCCCCATATTTATTTATTTATTTATTAAATTTATACCCCGTCCCTCTAGACCATGTCTACTCGGGG